GACAGGAACTGAAAAGAGATGAATTAGATGATGTGGAAAACTCTGAAATAAAAAGAATATAAGTTCTGTGAATGGTAGTAGGTTTTTATTGTTTTGGTAGATAAAAGGAGAAGTTATTTAACAAGAGGACATTGTTGGGTCTAAGACTTGGAGGGATAGGAAAGATTTGGAACAGTCACTGAGAGGCAGGCATGAGTAGAAGTTTTATCAGACAGTACTGGCAGATAAGGTGTAATCAGATATGGTGAGTCTGTATTGAAACTGATGGGCATGATTAAATTACTTTCAGTAGCCATGCTCAGGTCATTAGGAGTGGAAACAAATAAAAACTGAGATTTGGCTCCACCTGGGCCCTGGTAAACAAAGGCCATCAGTCTGGGGACAGGGGGAAAGAGGAAAGTCTTTTCTGGTGTAGATATGAATACAAATGAAATGAACAACCTCAAAGTACAGAGTGGCCAGGGAGACAAATATTGCTAAAGAAAGTTGATAGACCAGGAAAACAGGGGGTTACTAAGTAACCAGTGGACACAGAAGAAGAAATTCTAGGTTGAGAGAGCAAGAGGGATAGTTGAAAAGGTCAGGCTAGAGAACTTAATAGCTGAAGACTTTGGAGACAAAGCAAACACATTCTGGGTGTAGAATACCTAGTTGTGACCCTGCCACTGAGAAGCAAAGCCCTCAGGAACTGAGGTGGGTGTGAAGCTGAACAGAAGGCCTGCAAGCAGATACGGGACGGAACGGTCATTCACAAGGATGCTGAAGCTCCTGAGGGGACGCAGATCGCCTAATGTAGGTAGAAAAGCCATTGATTAAACTGCCTGGGGGAAGTGGAAACTGCCTTGCTTCTGGATATTTGGGAAAATGTGCTAGACGTGAACAGCCCTGCCTTAGGACCATTGATGGGAATAGATAGTGGTGTGGAGGCTGGCCTGAGATGGGAGACAGGAATTCTCAGTGAGTTGGGTTGGAGGCAGTACCAAGATGGGGAGATGGGTGTTCTGGAGGCTAGATTGGTGGGAGCAGACTGTTCTTCACCTGAAATGACTGGGCAGAGGGTAACATACCAGGTCAAATCCAACTGCTGTTCATGTTGGCAGTAGAAGCGAACATTGAGGCTGCAGGACAGCTAATGCCTGTGGAGTTGTGCACTTCAGAGATTCCGGTTTGTAATAATGGCCAGTGGCCTTGCTGGGTTTTGAGATAGAAAACTGAACTGGGGTTGGCTTAAACTTGTTGAAGGCTAACTTTTTTTTTTCCAACAACGATCAGTATTAGGTATCTTCTTTCTTTCTTTCTTTCTTTCTTTCTTTCTTTCTTTCTTTCTTTCTTTTCTTTTCTTTCTTTCTTTTCTTTCTTTTTTTTCTTTTTGGTCTTTTTATTAGTCTATACTAATTGTGTGTAATGGGTCTCATATGACATCTTCACATGTGTCTGTAATCTAATTTGATCATATTTCCCTCATTACCCTCTCTTGCCTCACTTCTGATTGCTTTCTTACCAGTGTGCACTTTGATGTCTCCCCTTTTATGATCCAGTGAGTTTTTCAAAAACTTTTCATACTTTGGTCCAGTGGATCTCCCCCATACCTAGTCTCATTCCTTTTCCTATCCCCGCCCTTCCTGTAAACTTTCCTTTTCCCTCGACACGGTTTCAGTTGTACTTTACACCAGGTACACATATGACTTTATGTAGTTATATAAAATCTAGGTCCCAAACCGAGAGACAAAATGTATGTTTAATATGATTATTTCCAGCTCTTACAAGTGACATAACTTTGTTCTTGTTTATGGCTGAAAAACTTTCCATTGTGTATATGTACACTTTTTAAAATTTTAATCCATTTGTCAAAGGGTAGATACCTACTTTGGTTCCCTGACTTAGCTATTGTGAACAGTGCTGCAGTGAACACAAATGTGATGTGTGGATGCAAAGCCTGGCTTTTTTGAGTTCATGGGCTAGAATAGTCTTTCTTCACGACAAGGATAAGGCAGGGATATCAACAAAAGGCTTAAAAGAGGTGAAAACAACCAGGGGGGCCGTAAAAGCTTTATTATCAGCAAACTGTCATTAATTAAACAGCCTTGGGTTTCCAATTAAAACTTGAGCATGTCCAACCCAAATGTCCACTTGGAATGTTAGCATGACCAATGCAAACAGCGGCGTGACTAATTAGGATGGCTATTGGAACAAATTACAGCGCTGTCCTCATCAGTGGCAACATTGGTGTGACTAATTACAACCTGGGAGTTTAAATGGTTGGGGGTCTTTGACAGTAGTGACAGCAGAAGAAAACCTAGACACATTGTAAGGCTCTTTAAATGTTCACCAAAGCAGTGTCTGGAATGCTGATTCCCAGACAGAAGTTCATGGGTATCATCCTAAGATCACTGGGCAGCCCACAGGGATCGTGCTTTCAGTTGTCATGTTCCTAGGTGTTGGCCTCTAGTCGGTGTTTAAAACAGATGAAGTCTTTCATACCCCCCCCCCGCCTTTTCCCCCTTAGATCTCAGCACAACAAAGTAATTGTCTTTATGGATTTTACCTGTGGAGTTGTCCTTTTGTCCCTGTGCATAGGAAGCTGTATCTTCATGTTGTGGTTCATCCTCAGTTGTTTATACTAACTTATTAGTTTCCTACTAACTATAACTCTGCCTTCAATGTCTCCTCTTACCTGTTTTAACTTTTATGATTTCTTTTGTGTGTACAGTGTCCCTGTGTGTGCACACAGATGCACATGATATATATCCCACATGCTATGACATATATGTGGAGGTCATAAAAAAGTTTCAGGTGTTATTTCTTGCCTTCTACCTTGTTTGAGACAGCTCGCATGGCCTGTGAACATCAGACTAGGTAGTATGCCAACATTCATGGACTCTTCTGTGTCTGCAGCCCATTTCTCCATAGTAGCATCAGGATTATAGACATTTGCTACTATGCCCAGCAACCTATGACATAGGTTCTAGGGATCTGAACTCAGATTCCCACATTTACATGGCAAGCCCTTTACACATTGAGCCATTTCCCTAGCTTTTGTTAGATTTTTGAACTAGGGTTATCTAGTTTGAAAACTGCCTTAAGTTAGTTTTAGAACAAAGCATATAGATTCAAGGATGGAGAGACTCAGAAAACCAGATGTAGAAAGGGAGGGATATGGGAAGAGGGAAGGGGGTATGGAAGAGAGTATGTGATAAACAAGGAAGATTCTGACCATCTTACGAGCTTCACGTACTCAAAGCCAAGAGAACTCATCATCTTGGTGTATCCTGCCTCCCCCACCCTCCCACCTCACCCCCACCCAGGGGAAGAACTGCTTAGGGTGCTTTCCAGCCTGCTTGGCCTCAGCAACTGAAGTCTGTGGATAGTATGTGTTCAGTGAAACCATGGCAGGCCAAGTGTTCACTTCCTGGGCTCAGGGAATATTTTTTGACTGCCCTTTTCAACATTTTATTATTTCTCTTTAAATTCTTTGGTTCACAACATTCCCCTTCCCACTGCAGCTTGGAAAACAGGATGATACAGCCAACAGAAATGAATTCTAAAGTCAAATAGACTGTGATTGACGTTATGTTCTTAGCTAGCAGATTTGCTTATTCTCCCTGGCCCTGTTTTCTCATCTGTAAAATTCAGATTCCAGTGTTTGCTGCCAAATCCCTGGGGAGGTGTGTTTAGGAGAATGTGTACAAAAGCAGCCAGCAGTGCCTAGTGCAGAGAAGGCACTCAGCAGACCTGAGTTTGTCATTAACTTGGACATCTCATCTGATTCCTTGTCACCAAGCATCCTATGTGTCTAATGCCGTAGTGTTCCGGTTTCTGTCCTGTCATCCAGCCTCAAGTCTGGCTGACCAGGAAAAGGCTGTTTCCCTGGCCTCGGGCTCAAGAGGCCTTCTAGACACCTAGTTAATTCAGCTAGTTTGTAGCTCGGATTCATCAAAGACTGGTGGCCTTTAGTGAAGTATCTATTCCTAGTCAAACTCCCTTTCCTCTGTTTTGGTTCATGATGACAGGATAGTTTGGTGTCTCAGAGATCAGATCATCAGTCTTTGTGCTGGGGTTGGGTTGCCTGAGATGATACTCGATGTTCAAACCATGCAAGAGGTTGTTTCTTCTTCAGTTGCTCTTCTGGTTACCATGTATGTTCTCAGGCCTGCATGGATAAGGGCCTACCATACACCAAGATTTTAGCCATCAAAACATCACCATTTGCTGATGGAAAACATACTGCCATGTACCTCTGAAAAGACTTCTGGTTCTTCATAATTCCACAGCAGTTGTCCTGCCTGTATCCTTTGTTGCGTCCTCTTGCTTAATAAGTGTGTGTTAATGGCAGGCTTGGTATCCAGGAACTGGGGTATTTGGTTGTCTGCTGCTGTTCTAGTGACAACAGGAATAGAAATAATAAACTTGGTCATTCCACAGTAAGTATAGAATAACCTTTTCTATATCCCATAGTAGCTACTTGTAATTTTGATATTGTTCAGGAAAGAGCCATCTCACTGGACCACTCGTAGGAATCCACTTTATACTCTGACTTCTCTGGATTTATTGTAATAATGTCTTACTTTGAGATTTGTTGAGACAAGAATGATCCTTGATTGTACCCAAGAGCTGGTCTAGAAATTCAAAAACTGTGTTGTCAGCAGGAATTCATATTCATTTGTTCTGTTGCTGCTTCGCCTTGAAAACAGAGATGGAAAATGTTCATCATTTGAAAGTGCCTATTCATTTTCTCTGAAAATAATTAATAGTAGTTACTATGGAGAAATATTTTTTGAGAAATGTCTTTCAAAGATGCTGGGTGATGTCAGGGGTTGTGCTGTCCCCAAATAACCTAGGGCCAGCCAGACCTCTCCCTAACAGATCTGTGACTGCTATGCAGTAGTTCCAACCCTCCGCTGTTACACAGTGTAGATGTTGTCTCATGTGCTATGGACAGAACTGCTTCTGGTCTTGTTGCCATGGCGGCTTATGATGCTGAGATCCATTTTTGCCTACAGGAGCTGCTAAGTCGCACATCTCTAGAGACTCAGAAGTTGGATCTCATGACTGAAGTGTCTGAGCTGAAGCTCAAGCTGGTTGGTATGGAGAAAGAGCAGAAAGAACAAGAGGAAAAACAGAGAAAAGCAGAGGTGAGTGTGATGCACCATATTGGGGTTGGGTGGGGGTAGGGCCCATGTTGCACTAGGCTTCTAGGCCATCTGGCCAACTGCAGTCCCAGCAGTCACTGGGTACCAGGAATATTCATGCACTAGAGACACAATGATCTGTTTAATACCAAGTTATCAGGTTTTGCTGTCATTGCACATTTCAGCAATGCCCAAACCACTCAGTTTTGGCTTTAAGGCTCTATCCTCAAACTGCTGACAGGGATGGAAAGGGAAGCAGTTGAGAACGAAGGATCAGACACATGTGGAGAGACACAAGATGTCTTTTGTGAAAACTAAGGTAATGACAACAACAGGAAGGAAGCTACCTCCCAGAAGGCTTGAGATAGTTTTCATTGCCCACACTCCCCAAGTCTGTGCTTTTTTTCCTTTCCTCTTGATGGGCTGTGTGGGTGAGTCCACATTCAGGCCATCTCTGAAAGAATACTTGCTTGTTTCATTTTGTTCTTCAGACTCCATATATCATGGGCTAGAATATGCCAGCATCTATTTTGGATAGAGTTCAGAGAGTTTTAAGTGCAGAACACCCCTTTCCAAGGAGCAGTGTGTTTTAACTTAGATAATTGCCTTCATGTTTTATGTTCACACTTGGCATTGTAATTCATGGAAGAAGGGAGTTCTACATTTAGGAAAACCTTGGCTTGTTTACTAACTGATCTATTCATTAGCTCTCTGGACCTCAACAAATTAGTTACATAATTTGTATGAACATCAGTTTCTTTATAAAAATAGTTAATGTGCTAAAGACCAATTAAATCACAGATGTTGAGTGTTATCATTGTATTTGGCATTTTGTAAAAACTTGATTTATATTCAGTTCCCTCTATTTATCCCTCTCAAGAAGTCAAAAGATGGAAATTGGTCCTTTCTGGGAAGTGCTAACATTATTTACATTGACCTGCCATGTTTTTCTGAGTCGATAATAGAGCTTGGACCACTTACAGTATTCCAGGGGATGTTCCTTGCATTGATTTTGAGAGCATGTTTCTCAGTAAGCTGTGTAGTGGCCAAAGAAAGAGACCTGTAGTAAGCTGTATACAGGAGCTCCTATGGAGAGTGCAGGTTGTTGGATCTCATCTCTGGCTTTGAGTCATGCTTGGATATTCCCTAGCTTTGACCTCCTGGCCATTAATTTAACTCCCAAATATCTAATTCTTCTTTTTTTTGCTTATTTATTTCTATAAGATGGTAGTAATGCTTGCTCTTTCTTAAGTCATTCTGAGGACTGAAGGAGAACTTGTGTATGTGGCCCTTAGCTTAGTGTAGACCATGTAGTAGTAGCTAGCTTTTATTGATTGTATTGCTCACATTGACAATGGAAAGGTAAACTATGACACATTTTTCACATGCTGAAAAGTTCACCTAGACTGAAAGCTGATCTGTGTGGACTCTTCATTGTTCGCAGAGAAACAGTCAAATCTCCTGGGTTAGTCATTTTATCAGTGCTCCAGGGTATATAATATATATGAGCATGCATTAGGGCTCAGAGGCGGAACTCAATGACCTCTGGGAAGGGTGTACATTGTCAGAGACTCAATTTAAAATGATTAAGGAAAAAAAGGGGGGGTAGGGAAAGAGGAGATAAAGGAGTTGATAGAAGACACAACTTGAGAAGTCTAAGGCTAGAGTACAGCATGATTGGAACCAGACAATCTCAGCGTGCATCTAAAAGCCCATTTTAGGGCAGTCCTTGATTCTCTGTTTGCCTTGTTCTCAGGAAGGCTGACCCCTTCATGTCAAATGTAGCCATCCATAGCTCTAGACTGACATCTATAGAGAGTCTTTCTTAAAGATTCCAGCAGAAGCTGTAGGGTCATTGTGGGTTTCATGCCTGACTGCGCCTGGCTCTCCGGGGATAACAACACTTGGAGTGTGTGAGTGTGAAAGTCAGGCTATCTGTGAAGAAAATGCAGAATTAGTGTGGAGCTAGGTAACCCAGTTCCTTTTTGAGAATTTCAGAAGGAGATGCATTTCCCCTTCTGTGATACATGTACTAAAGTAGCCACCTCCCCAGTAGCTTGCTTTCTTCTCTGAAGGATTGTTTTCAAATCCAAGTTTGGGGTGGTTTTCCATCAGGCTGTTCATGCATGAGGCAAGCTCCTGGCCTCCATCCTGCAAGATCACTGCCCTTCAAATATTTGCCAGTACAAATATTAGGTTTCCATGTGGAGGAATGTTGTAGGCTGTTCAAACCTGTGAGAGGCAGTGAGCAACCACATGACCTGAAACACATTCCTCCTTATCGTAACTGAACATACTCTGCTGATCGGCCCAGGATCTCAGCCTCTGTTGGTAGCTATCTGGAGAACCAGTGGCTGAATACCATGAGTGCCGCTTAAGCCTTATTGCTGTCATGTGATGGAAATGTTTGAGTGAGAACATTTTGCTAGATCAGGTCACTTGTGGTTGGAATTACGTGAATAAAGGGAATGCCTGTTCTGTTTCTATACTACACCATTTTTTTTTTTTTAACCAGTGAGTACTTGTGCCTAAGGCTGAGTGTGGTTTAGCAAAGGCAAGACTTTGTTTTTCTTTTTGAGATAGCCAGATGGTAACATTTCTGATAGTTAACTTTGTGTCACTGTGTTAGACATTTTTCTTGTTGCAGTGACAAAATCCCCAGTAGAAGCAAGAAGGGGGAAAAAGTTTATTATTATTGTCATCATTGTTTTATCATCATCATCATCATCATCATCATCATATTTACTTTTTGAGGCAGAGTTTCTCCATATAGCCCTGCCTCTTCTGGAACTCCCTTTGTGGACCAGGCTGTCTTAGAACTCAGAAACCTCCCTGTTCCTGCCTACCTAGTGCTGGTATTAAAGGCGTGCACCATCATACCTGGCTTGTTATTTATCTTTGACTCACATTTAAGCAATACAGTATGCTATGGTAAGAAAAGCATGGTCAGTAGGACTCCACTCATGGTAGTAGAATCTAAAGGCATGGCTTATTACTTATCATTAGATCAGGAAATGGAAAGAGCTCTGATTAGAATAAGGCTGGGTTCAGTCCTAAGTGACCTGCTTACTCCAGCCAGACTTCACCTCCTAAATGTTCTAGAGCCCCCCAAGACAGTGCCATCAGATAGAGACCGGTATAAACACGTGAGTCCATGAGGGTCCTTCCACATGCAAACTCTAACAATTACCATGGCAAATAGGCATGCAAATAAATTGGAAGAAGGCAGATTTATAGGCTCAGTGTTTCAGGAGTTCCAGGCTGGCTTCACTGCAGTGAGGCAGAACACTGACAGTAGGAGCATGTGACAGAGAAGGCTGTTCAAGTCATGGCAGCTAAGGAGTACAGAGAAACAGGAAAGGGTTGAAGCAAGATACACCTCTAAAGTCATGCCTCTGTTGAAACACTTTCTCTAACCTGGCCCCACCTCCTATGACTTTCCTTTTTTACCATGAAAGTATAAACCCATCAATGGGATAATCAATGAAGTTATAGCCCTCATGATCAAGTCACTTCCCCCAAAATCCCATCAGCAAAGTCTTTAACACATGAGCCTTCCCGAGTGAGGCATTTCACATTGAAGCTATAACACTTCTCTCTGCAGCTTGGCCATTGTCCTCAGATTCAATTTTTGTTTCAATGAAAATAGGGTCAGTTTTTAATAGGATCACTACACTCTATTCTGATCATACCCTAAGTCACTGTGGCTTCAGTCAGTGCCCTGCTGCTTGTGCTTGAGTTGTACAGATGGTACTGGTGGCCAATCTGTGAGACCTCGGGCCTTGGAAGTACAGGCTTCCTGATGACTAGCCTTTCCAAGGATTAGGTCTGTAGTGGTACACGTGAGAAGTGGGTGAATACAGATGTTTGCTTTAGTTTTCCTCATTAGCCTTTTACATCCTTCCTGGGTCATTTCAAGCTCCCCAGGACTGAATATTAGATTTACTTCTGAAAGGCAGGGTTGTAATAGAGTGACTGACATGGGAAGTAAATACCAGATGAGAGGATGGAACGTGAAAGAAAACCTTGGTGGTATCCTAGAACACGTCCATCAGAAGGGTCCTTTAGAAGGATTCTCTCTGAGCCGGTCTAGATTATGGGGCGTGAGGGTGGGGCACAGGTGGATCCCACTGGGGGACCCAGCAGGCTATGAGCAGTTGTCAGAGTCAGGTACAGAGAGCTAGGACAGACTGTGGTGTCAGCTCGGTGAATCAAGAACTAGAAGTAATTTTCAGGATTTTCTTGTAGAGCAACGGTGCCTCACAACACACAGTTTTCTTCCTGTGCTCTGTACCTGGGAAGGAAGAAATTCTAATTTCTGAACTAGAGCAGCCAGAATGATGAACTTGGACCACAGAGCAAGTATAGGGAGGACTGTATTTGCTGAGAGCTGAACTGGCCTGCTGAGAAGAGTTTTAATATTTTTGTTTCATTGATTTACCTTTTGTTCTTTTAATATTTATTTATTTATTTATTTGTATGTATATGAGTGCTCTATCTACATGTGCATCTGCATGCCAGAAGAGGGCATCAGATCTCATTATAGATGGTTGTGAGCCACCATGTGGTTGCTGGGAATTGAACTCAGGACCTCTGGAAGAGCAGACAGCGCTCTTAACTGCTGAGCCAGCTCCCCAGCCCTTAGTTTACCTTTTCATGTATATGAAAGAAACTTTAAAAAAAAAACAACAAAAGTTCATAAGGGTGAATAACAACAGATGTCATATACTTGTCCTCCAGCTGGCTGGCAGGAACCAGTGCTATCAGTTTGTCTTGTATTCTTCCAGAGTTATCTTATGTAAGGACACACACACACACCATGTTCATGAACACAGAATACAGACACACTCACTTTTATTTTCATACTTTCCTTTCTTTTTAATTTTTATTTTATTTTATTTTTTCACACAGACTGTGACTGTCCTCAAACTCACTTTGTAAACCAGGCAGGCCTCAAATTCAGAGATCCAACGGCTTCTGCCTCCCAAGTGCTAGGATAAAAG